AAAGCATTATGTTTGTTTGTTGCAACAAAAACATTGAGGTCTTTTGACACCCTAAGGTTCATAATGTTCATGTGGTTTGTGCAAGTGCTTGCTTCCAAAATGACAGAAACACAGGAAGCATTCATTTTTGTAAACTTCTTAAAATTCCTTGCACTTCTCTTCCATGATATTCAGCATTTGAACTCCACAAGCTTGAAAAGGGAACTGCTGCATATTCAGCTTCCATTTTGAACTGCCTGAAGCAAAAACAAAACAGAAGAAATTGAATTGGCCAATAGCCAAGTATCTTATTCTCATGGGTTTCTTCCCTATTTGTTCCAGAGGTTTCATGTGATTGTGTGCTTCTGTGTGTGCAGCATGTATATGTAGTGCACACTTCTCTGACCGTAATTGGAAATAATAATAATAATAATAATAATAATAATAATAATAATAGTAATAATAATTTTGACGTGATTTTGTGATATGAAATCCAGCATATACATCTCATTTGGTGTGTCATACTGTGGTTTTGTGTCAGTAAATTAATTTTATTTTTTATCTGCTTCTTCCCATGGCTCGACGTGGGTCACAAGTATCTTTGTTTGATAATGATATTCTTACTTACTTACTTGATATGATATGCACCACTGGATAGCAACACTTTCTATCCTCTCTCATCAGAAAGGAACATGAAGAAATAATAGTAATATATTAAGATTTTTAAAAATGCAAATGTGAATCTTTTTATATTTTCCAAAGCCCTAAAAGGCAGTAAAGACTGTCTGTCCCCAAGGATGAAGAGAATTTGGGAAATTGCTTGTTCCATTAATTTAAAAACACATAAATACTATAAAAATCCTACAAACACACATTAAAATTCAGTTCCATAAAAGATACAGATCAAAGCATTTCTGTAAAATACATATTAACCATACAGGACAGAGACCAAAACACGTGACATGAGTTTAAAATGGTAAAACTGTGGCATAGACACCGAGAGATTGGAAGCTCTGGCCCTTGAGCACTCTAACTGGAGGTCAACTGTTATCAGCAGTGCTGTGGAATTAGAAGAGACACGAATGGAGGGCAAAAGGAAGAAGCGTGTCAAGAGGAAGGCGCATCAAGCCAACCCTGACTGGGATTGCCTTCCATTTGGAAACGGATGTCTTCACTGTAGAAGAAGATGTGGATCAAGAATAGCTCTCCACAGTCCCCTATGGATCCACCGCCAAGACCCTACACTCGGAAGGCCATCCTACTTGGACTTGAGTGATCGCCAATGATGGCGATGCTTCCAGTTTCTGCTGTATCTTTTATTTCTTTGAATCCTTGATTCTGGCTGTTGTTTTAAACACCCAGATTTTATAGGCTCATAACAGGAGCCAGCAGTAAAGTGGATGGCAACTGAATGACTTAAGATCCACAAAAGTGCCTCTCACTGCAAAGAAAATTTGTGTTTGGTTTTTAGAGCTCCATTTTGTAAAGCAATCACTTTCCAGTCCTCCTTGACTGTACTAAAAATGTTCACACTAAGGAACTAGCAGCATAGATTTTCACTTTAAATTACCCAGTGCTCTTATTCTGTACTGCTTTTGCCCTGTAGCATTGGTTGACATTTCATAGAGAGTGAACCTGCAAAGGGCCAGAAAATATATAATTATAGGAATCACCTTCTCTTGATTTTCCCATTACATACCAATCACGGCACAGACAGGCTTTTCCTAGCTGCTTGCTATGAAGTGAAAAAGTTTTATTCTTTGTTGACCTGTGATTAAAATGTGGCATTTTGGTAAATAAATAGAAGGGAGCTTTTGCATAATTCAGTTCTCTGCTGGTGCAATGAGAAGCTGGTAATACGAGTCTTTGACCTGTGTCGCAGAAGCAACAGCATATGTATAATGGAAACAATGTCCTAGGATGGTGTAATAAAAAACAGTCTTTAGTCCAGAAAATGTGGAAGTTTCATATTATCTTAAAAAGAAAGTGGAGTTAAGTTAGGCTGTTCTCCCCCCCCCCCCCTTCTTTTCATCCTGTCTCCACCAATAAATTTAGTCTATGCAATGTTTGAGCCCAGCTTGGGTTAAACTAAGACATCCAATATCATAATTAGGGATGTCCAACAATCATAATGAAATTTATCTGTGAGCACAGACTGTGCAATGAATTCAGAAAACAAACCAGTATGGGACATTTCTTTTGATGTATATGAGCTTCTGGACATAGGAGCCATGTATTTGCGAACAGCTGGGTCCTAAAAAGAGATAGCTTAGGAATGAAATATGGTACAGCCGCTTAGGAGAAATAGCACAAAGAATTCTATCGGTGAGAACAACAACATAGGGTTGTTGTAAGTTTTTTGGGCTTTATGAGCATGTTCCAGAATCATTCTTTCCTGTCGTTTCGCTCACATCTATGGCAGGCATCCTCAGAGGTTGTGAAGAATTGCAACCCGACAGCATTTGTGGCTCTGGGGTTGGGAAAAGGTTAAAGGGCATTTTAAAGTAAAACATTGCATCTACAAGCCAAACTAACAAAATGAAATTCAACAGAGACAAATGCAAGATAATCCCTTCAGCAGAATAAAATGAAGTGCAAAGATATAGAATGACTGATGGTTGGCTCGATAGCAGTATGTGTGAAAAAGATCTTGGTGTCCTCGTGGACAACAAGCTAAACACAAGCCAGCAATGTGATGCAGCAAAACAAAAAAACAAACAAACAAAAAAACAAAACAAACCAATGGGATTTTGGCCTGCATAAATAGGAGTGTAGTGTCTAGATCCAGGGAAGTCATGCTACCTCTCTATTTTGCCTTGGTCAGACACACCTGGAATACTGTGTCCAATTCTGGACACCGCAATTGAAGGGAGATGTTGACAAGCTGCAATGTGTCCAAAGGAGGGTGACTAAAATGATCAAGGGTCTGGAGAACAAGCCCTATGAGGAGTGGCTTAAAGAACAGTGCATGTTTAGCCTGCAGAAGAGAAGGCTGAAAGGAGACAGGAATACATTGTATAAATATGTGAGGGGAAGTCATAGGGAGGAGGAGCAAGCTTGTTTTCTGCTGCCTGGGAGGCTAGGAACTGTGGCTTCAAATTACAGGAAAGAAGATTCCACCTGAACATTAGAAAGAACTTCCTAACTGTGCAAGCTGTTCAGCAGTGGAACTCTCTGCCTTAGAGTGTGGTGGAGGCTCCTTCTTTGGAAGCTTTTAAACAGAGGCTTGGTGGCCGTCTGTCGGGGGTGCTTTGAATGTGATTTTCCTGTTTCTTGGCAGGGGATTGGACTGGATGGCCCTTGAAGTCTCTTCTATGATTCTATGATTCTGAGTCCTGTATCTAAATTCAAACTCCACTATCCTGACTAAACAAAACAAACTGCAGCCTTCCAGACATCACTGTATCACAGTTCCCATCAGCTCTAGTCCTGATGTCTAATGATGAGTAATAACAGAGTTGTAGCCCAGCATCTGGAGGGCCACATAAAATGACATAGTGGACTGGATCTGGCCTGTGTCCTTGTGTTTGACACATGTGGGAGAAACTGATGATCGTCTGAAATGATTGCTGTTGATAGGCAAAGATTCTACCTAAATATCTTCATCTTTGGGTTGGATCTTTGCCTTAACAATAACAGCAATCAAATGGGGATTCATAGAGAGCAAATAATCAGTGTATATAGGATTGGTTACTCCATAGCATCAACATGTTAAAAAAATACATTTGAATATTTATCTTTTGAGTGGAAATATGTACAAAATGTGTATTTAAATATATATTTAAAATACCTGACATGGAAATAGAGTAGAATAGAATAAGTAAAGCATGCAAAACAATGTAGCACAGATTGAATTGTCAATCTGTTTATGAGAGTTGGATATAAAATTGATAGAATTCTAATTACGTATCTGTATAATTATTATTGCAATTTTATTGCCTTAATTATTGCAAGCTCCTGGGGGAAAATATTAATGTGTTAAATATAACTAGGTGAAACACTTTCTTCTGTAGTCATCATATATTACCATTGTGTAGTCATCACATAACTGATCTTTGCTGTTCTGTTGAAAATAGATAGGATCAGCTACTTGTTTTAGTATCTTTTTGTGGATTTTGCACAACAGAGCTTGACAAATACAAGTAGTTTGTTCATATACTGCAGATGATAATTCAACGAAACAAGTTTTTCAAGCAGTACTTAGGAATACAGTAGCTTATAAATCATGTAATTCTGCTGCATTCTCAAAGCCAGGCCGTTGCATGGATAGGAGAGTCATAGGATTCACAATGTAAATCGTTCAAAATTTCTGTAACATATATGTAGCAATCAACTATCATTCAGCACACATATAATCTGAGATTCTGGCAATATCTGCATTCACTTACCAAACTGTATGAAGGCATATAATATGTTCTGCTAACTCTGGTACAAATGTGAGATCCAGGAAATTGATTTTGATCTCTCACTTCTTTCTTATGACCTAGTATGCAAACAAGAAAATAAACTCATCTTGCATTGTTTGGTTGGACTGAAATATCAGCCCTACCATATTTCCCAAGTGAAACACAGAACTGGAATGAGCCTTGAAACAGAGCAGGAAGGCAAACAGACAACAAACAATAACTTTGGCCAAAAGACTCACCAAGCCCCAGCACAGTTTATTCCAAGCTTAAGTATTTCATAGAACTTCAGAGTTATGTGGGTGATGACAAAGTGTACATGTGTAATCCTTATATGAGAGATTTGCGACCAGCACATAATATATACAGAATCTGTTTGCTGGTGAGGATGTTTCTCAGGGTCTGGCATTGTATGTAGTCATAACATTTTGCACATAGTTTGCAGTTATGGCATTTTTAGCATAAATGATAGAGCTCAGCAAACAATACAGACCATGGAGGGATGTCAGCTGTTACCAAAATGGAATTGATCAACTTCACTAAAATAGATCAGCTTACAATTCAATCTTTAATTCTTATTTTATGCCAACAACTCCATTTCTCACTTTCCTGTTTTAGGACCAGGAGCCTACAACCCAGAAACATATTACACTATAGCAAAACCATCTTCCGGTGTTGCAGTCTGGGTTTCTCGAGTGGACCGTTTTAAAGAAGCAAAAGATGACATTCCTGGCCCTGGAGCATATGAGGTATGTTTATATGACAATGTTATTCGATAAGTTGTTTCTGCCAGTTTTTCTTTTATCAGAAACAGGTTATAAGTACTTTAGAGTTGATTGTTGTACTGTTTAAAAGTGGAGAAATATTGATGTTTCAATTGACAAAAAACCACAGGTTTTATTCTTGACAGCAAAATAGTACATTTATTACGTATGTTATGTGTATAGGATTCAATCCAATAAACTTGTCAAAATGTATCTTGTCTTGAGACTGATATGACATTTGGCAGTTCCAATGTCTTCTGTTGGCATTGAACACATTTGAACAGTCTGTTATTTACACCTCCTTCACAAAGAAGAGCAGATAATTTTCAGAGTCTTGACATAGAGAAGTCCATGTTATGGATTTTTCAGATGCATCAACTGTATTGAATTCTCTGCATAGAGAAGTTTGCTTGACTACTTTGATTCCTGAAGGGAAGTGAACATGATTCTGTCTCAGAAGGCATGAGCTTTTTTTCTGGCTCACTTGGGTTGAGTGGAATGTCATCTTCTGTACTCTAGAGCAATGCCATATTCTTCTAACGACGGAGTTACTGAATTTCATGGAAGGTTTATGGCAAAATGTTTCCTTTTATTTGTTGTTAACATTCATTATGAGACAGTGTAAAAACTTTGGTTAAAAACGAGATATAAATTTGAGTCAATTATATTAGTTGTATTCAAATCAAATCATTTATTTCGGTCATAGACCAGCACAGGAAATAGAAATCACATTTTTATACAAACTTGGTACGTTTAGTACATTAAAAATATAAATATAGCTACTGAAGCACAATGTGGGTGAGGGAGCGGAGGGGGAAACAGGGTATAAACATACAATGCACAGATCCATTCGTTGTATTTAAAATTAAGCTGTAACAGCAACAGAAAGGGAATTGTGCAATCAGATAAACAGCTGCAATACAGGTTGAGTGTCCTTTATCCAAAATGCTTGGGATTGGATTTTCTTTGGATTTTGGATATTACCTTTATTTGCATAGATGTACATCATGCAATATCTTGGAGATGGGATCCAAGTCTAAACACAACATTCATTTTGGTTATTGTTTCACTGGTTCACTGCTGTTCCTGGTGTCTCAGGCAAAATGAGGTCTTTTCCAGTCTTGGTGTTTGAAATAATTAAGCTTGATATACAAACCAGGAACAATTAACATGTGGTCACCTGTACATGAAATGGAAGATTCCTATATGGTCCTTTAATCTTACCATCATTTAGAAGTGGAGAATAAACTTTTGTGTGCAGAAACTTAACTTTCTCTCTCATATTCCCTCCTTTCTTTCTCTTGCACATAATATATCACAATAGCTGACTATATAGTAAAACTTGAGTAGGTTTCATTCCAGTGTGCAGACAAGGCTTAGGATCCTCTGAACACCAAACAAAACACAGAGAATCTGAATGGTATCCTCCAATATAGGGTCAGAAGCTGTATTCTGGAAAAAATGCCATACATAGAAATGATTGCATGTACATACTTGCAGGCCTCTTTTCTGTCCTAATTCAGAGTTGAATGCTGCTTCACACAGAATGGATTGTATAGTAATGGGATCTAAGTTGCTTTTTAAGGACTCTATACTAAAGAATGCTGTATTATATCAGTTTTCACTGGTGACCCTATATTTCTGGAATGTTTTCTCTCTGTGACATCTTTAGAGCTAGATTCCAAATTTTCTCCCAGAGGTAGGTCAAGACTATCCTGTACCAGCAGACATTGGCTTATTTTTCTGAATTATAGAATCACAGAATTGGAAGAGACCACATGAGCCATCAAGTCCAATCCCTTGCCTTTCAGGAAAAGTATCCCTGACAGATGACCTAGAGCCTCTGTTTAAAAGCCTCCAAAGAATGAACTTCCACAACACCCCGAGGCAGAGAGTTCCACTGTTGAACAGCTCATATGGTCAGGCAGTTCTTCCCAGTGTTCAGGCGGGATTTCTTTTCCTGTAATTTGAACCCATTGCTCTGATTCCTAGTCTCCAGGGCAGTAGAAAACACGCCTACTCCCTCTTCCTTGTGGCATCATTTTAGATATTTAAACATGGCATCATGTTTCCTCTCAACCTTCTCTTCTGTAGGCTAAACATGTCCAGCTCTTTAAGCTCTCTGATCTCTGACTGAAGGCTAGCAGAAATATTTTTCTGGGTGACTGTTCCATTTGAATTACATTTAGCAAGCTCTTTTCTACACAGCCTATGTTAGGCCAAGTATGAGATTAAAATACATTTTCAGAAGCCAGAAAGATGTTGTACATATCTATTTTAATGTGTTGTATTGTTTATAAAATGTTGCTACTATTAACTCGAATTATGAACATTATTTTATTTTTACTATTGAGATCTTTATGGAAGGTCACATGTGTACATGTGAGATATGGAGATTTAGCTTTACCAGGCATGGCTGTTGGATCCATCACCTTGGAGGTGGCAAATCTACTCTTGAGTTTCATTGCTTCTTTTCCCAACAGTGATCTGGTACTGACATAGCTCCTGCTCAAGTCAAAACAGCTTCAGTAAAATCTAAAATTGCCCCTGCATGAAGCAGCCTTCACCAGGTCTAAAATTATTTAGCCGCTTGCGCTTCCTTTATTTTATTAGTTTTATGCTTATTTATGCAATGCTTTTGACACAAAATAAATAAAACCAAATATGGAGCTCTAACTCAGACAAGACCCATCATCCATGATCATTGGATGTGCTTGCTGGCAAATATGTCAGTAAAATCCTTGGGATTCCAGGCTGGGCAGTCTGCTTGAGATGGATGAATAGTAAAGCTTGGCAGACACTTGGAGCCATATGGCTGAAGAAGCTTTATGAAGGTCAAGCCAGCCTTTGTCACATGAGATTTCATCACATCACACATAAACCTGCGGAGTGAAATAATCAAATTGCAAACATATTGATGTCCTGGGTATGTTATGAGCAAAAAATTCCGCTTCAGCATGCTTTAGTATGGAGATAAAGAATAATAGTTCATTTTGTCAGTGGAAATTGTGAATAGTTCTAATTGCCAAATGTCTTTAATCATTGGATCTCTATCAGTGTCATAAATACCAGGTGTGGTAGATTAGCTGCTCCAGGGTTTGAGGAGGCACTTCAACTTTGCATTCATCTAAAGTTGTGTTTTGAAAGTGGATATATTTCTGTTTGTTTGTTTGTAAGCAAATCATGCTTGCAATACCATCTGTAAAAGCACAACAAGAGACAGTATGGTTACTTACTTACTTACTTAGGCGATCACTCGTAGTCTGAGGATGATGGTCCTCCAAGTGTAGTATCCTGGCGGTGGGTCCGTAGGTGACTGTGGAGCCCTATTCTTGATCTGCATCTTCTCCCAAAGTGAGGGCATCGGTTTCCAGGTGGAAGGCGGTCCCGATCAGGTTTGGCTTGACGCGCCTTCCTCTTGGCACGTTTCTCTCTTTCACCCTCCATTCGTGCCTCTTCAAATTCTGCAGCACTGCTGGTCAGAGCTGACCTCCAACTGGAGTGCTCAAGGGCCAGGGCTTCCCAGTTCTCAGTGTCTATGCCACAGTTTTTAAGGTTGGCTTTGAGCCCGTCTTTAAATCTCTTATCCTGTCCTCCAACATTCTGTTTTCCATTCTTGTGTTCGGAATAGAGCTACTGCTTTGGGAGATGGTGGTCGGGCATCCGGACAACATGGCCAGTCCAGCGGAGTTGATGGCGGAGGACCATCTCTTCAATGCTGGTGGTCTTTGCTTCTTCCAGCACGCTGACATTTGTCTGCTTGTCTTCGCAAGAGATTTGCAGGATTTTTCGGAGGCAGCGCTGATGGAATTGTTCCAGGAGTTGCATGTGACGTCTGTAGACTGTCCATGTCTCCCAGGCGTATAGCAGGGTTGGGAGGACAATAGCTTTATAAACAAGCATCTTGGTATCCCTACAGATGTCCGGTCCTCAAACACTCTCTGCTTCATTCGGAAAAATGCTGCACTCGCAGAGCTCAGGCGGTGTTGAATTTCAGTTTCAATGTTGACTTTTGTGGAGAGGTGGCTGCCAAGGTAGCGGAAATGGTCAACATTTTCTAATGTTACATCATTAAGCTGTATTTGTGGCATTGGAAAGAGATTGGCCAGTGACTGCTGGAAGAGCACTTTGGTTTTCTCGACAGTATGGTATAGTAGTTTTAACAATGGACAATTTTGAAGACCAGGGTTCAAATTCATGCCCACCTATGGAAACTTACAAGTGACCTTGGAGAAGTTACACCAGGGGTCCACAAACTTTTTAAACAGAGGGCCAGGTCACAGTCCCCCAAACTGTTGGAGGGCCGGATTATAATTTGAAAAAAAATGAATGAATTCCTATGCACACTGCACATATTTTATTTGTAGTGCAAAAACACTTTAAAATACAATAATTAACATGAAGAACAATTTTAACAAATATAAACTTATTAGTATTTCAGTGGGAAGTGTGGGCCTGCATTTGGCTGATGAGATTGGATTGTTGTTGTTATTGTGTGCTTTCAAGTCGTTTCAGACTTAGGTTGACCCTGAGCGAGGGCCGGGTAAATGACCTTGGAGGGCCGTATCCGGCCCCCGGGCCTTAGTTTGAGGACCCCTGAGTTACACTCTTATCAGTCTCAGATGAAGGCAAAGACAAATCTCCTTTGAACAAATGTTACACACACACACACAAGCCTGTGATAGGTTTGCCTTAGGATGGCCATAAATCGGAAAATACTTTAAGACTCACATAGTAAGGACACAATAGATAGTTGAATGTAACAACATACTATATATTGCAACATCTGAAGAATGAAATTGCACCTACACCTATTCCATTAAAAGGAAATCTTGTAGATTCCTTTCCGTTTCATTGTGATATGTAAATCATAGTCCTGCTTGAGAGAAATCCAACAGCATAATTTATACTTACCTTTACCAAAAAAATGTGAAGATATGTTAAAACAAGCAGCAATAGCTAATTTATATACAGTACATTCAAAT